TGGGAGTGGGCCTACCCATGTCCCACATCCTGAGTGATGGAACATGACTCTCATCACCTATAGTGGTCACATCCTGAGTGATAGAGCATGACTCTCATCACCTATAATGGTCACATCCCACAGCTATAGGAAAGGATATGGTGCTCCTCACCCCTAAGTGGTCACATCCCACAAGTCAAGGGATTGACCATATCTTTCCTTGCCTATTTATAAGCCCCCTTTGGCAACATGAAAAGGGGGGCTTTTTTTTAAAAAAAAAAAGAGGGCTTCAGAGAACTTTTTGGAGAGGTTTAGAAGCTTGGCATTTCTAAGACTTTTCAATCAGAGGCCTTTTTGCTACTGGCTTGGTGGGCTTGAACGGATGGGCATCTTGAGAGCTTGGTTGGACATTCTTAAACAAAAGCTTGGATTGTTGAAGTAGACTCAATCTGAACTCTCAGATTTGAGACTATTGGCTCTTTACAAACTCTTGCATATTAGTCTTCTCTAAGCATTCGACCTAGATACTCATCAAGCTCGGATAATCGAACTCAATCACACAAGGGCTTCTACTGCGTACTGAAGCTCAATCGCCATTTCGATCAGATCGTCCAAGAAAAGCAAACTCGACGCAAGCATTCGAGGGAGGCGTCATATCGTTACCAAAGACCCCACGTTAAACAAGAAGAACATTCTCTTCGCTTCTATTGTAACTTGATTTCTTGATTTGTAATAAGCCATTCTTATTAATACAAATCTCCTCCTTTACGGGAATCAATTTTACTCCCCTCAAGTATGTCACAATATCATCATTCCGACATTTCAAGGAATTTTCGTGTCTGAGTATCAGCTGTCTATATCCCATATATTTACATTAGCTAGGATAAGCTCTCACCAACTAAGCTTCAGTGGTGGCTCTTCCACTTCAATGACTACAAATAGGCTCTGCTTTGGGATGCATATTGTGCAACTAGACCTCAAAAAAATTCTAAGGTATTTAACTCTTTATATAAATTTCTTCTACCAACAGCATGTAGTGTACAAATCTTAAATAAACTATGAGCTAGAAAGAGTCTCAATATGAACCAAACGCAACCTAAGAGGCTCTAGCTGAAACAAAGAACTGCTGTGTAATAACCCTATATATATCAAGTAATTACAATTCTCATAAAGAGAAAGCAATGCAAATAAATATTGAATACGGGCTTTTTTGAATATATCATCTACTATTGTTGCCAAGCTCATATTCATTTTTTTAAATACCACGACAAGGCCCAATATATCGCCCGATATATCCTTTTACAGGGCTTGCCACAATTAATATGGTCACTAAATATCTTTTATCGTTTTTTTACTATTTTAGGCAACATACCCTAGATACAGCCAATATATTAGCCGATATGTTGGCTGATATCTTTGCATATGGCTTGTCGCAAAATAATATACCCGTTTGGCAACTTCTGGGCGAGATATCATGATTTTCCCATTACATCGAATGATATATTAGCCAAAAAATCAGATAAAATGTTGCATCATTGATTTGTAATTTTGTTTGTTTTACAAGAATGATTAGTGATCCTAAACATATATTATTTACATTTTGTATGCTTGTATCTCATTAAGTGTGTTGAGATTACATTTTCGTACATTATACTATATATGCAAACATCCATTATGAAGTTCCGATATTTACCATATGTCCCCAATATTTTCCCGATATCCACAATTTGATATGAATTTTTCTCATCCAATATTTTCCCGATATCTGATATTCAACATTGCTGAGATTTATTTAAGATATTGTCTTTCTATCATTGGGGATCCTGGCATCAATAGGAAACGTCTCTTTCCTTTGACATTCTTGAAAATATAAAAAAGGAAACCATCTCACCAAATTTCCACTTTCTTCCCTTAATCCCTTTCACCCAACTCCTTATTCTTAGTAGTAAGGTGAGGCGAATTAGAAAAAAAGAAAGAACAAAAGGAGGAGGGTTTACAATATAAAATATTTACCCATCATCAAGGTATAACCTCACTCTCTAATGCCTTATATAGATTGGAATCTTGTGTAGAAGAGCTATTGGGGAATTTTGATTTGGGTTGTAAATTGAATTTTGGGTTCGCTAAAGGTTTGTGATCGGCAAAAAAAATGAAAAATATGGACAGAGGTCCGGCGAGGTTCTCATCGCTGACTATATTTGATCGTCAGTAGGTCCCCATCGTCTACAGAATACCCTGAGCAAGGAGGCAGTCTAAGGCTTAGTCTGTGTTCCTGTAGCAAAAAAAGAACGAAAAAAAAAAGAAACTATAGGGAGAAAGGAGGGGGAAGAGAATCAATAAACTAAAATGAAACAATTGAACTTCATTGGGACTTTTAAGAGTCTCCATATATGCCTAAAGTTAGTGGATAATTCCATTAAGACCTTAATTCCTAGTAATATTTACTAAGTTATCTAAAATAAAGAGGAAAATGGACGGGAAAATTTCCGTTAGACCCCCGAAAGTCGCAGTATTTGTGAATAGGTTTGGACAGTGAAGGATTATAAATAGGCTAGGAAAATTATCTATAGCCCCTTGGAATGTCAATAAGTTGTTAATAGGTCCAAAAGTATTAGAGAAGTGTAATAAAAAAATATGATAAACTGCTACAATTAGCAATAATCCTATGGGAACCTTTAATGGGTCTATTGATTATACTTGATTCCATTTGGACCTAGATTATGGAATGATTAGTACGAGTTTACAATAGTTTGGTGTTGACCCTATGTTTTATTATAATATAGGACTTTGTGGATATGGAGAGGGGTCGAATTTGGGAGACTCCAATCAGTTAAGAGATGAGTTCATTTCTCACTGGTATTTTTATAGTATAAATTGCATGAGTATTATATATCTGAATGAACTTGTGCTTGAAAAATAATTACTCTATTATTTGTCATGTATTTAAGATGAATGGTAATTCGAGCTTTTCTATTATGACCTATACCTATAAAATAATTTTGATTTCCTATGAGGTATGCAGAATAATTTTGATTTCTTATAAAAAGTGATAAATGATTTTGTTTTTTATGTGATCCCAAATAAATAAGAATATTGCTTTATTCGAAAGCTATTGAAGTAAGAAGAGTTTTGAATGCGTTTCAACAGTTTAATGTATTCAAGAAATTTTCTGTAACTTGGCATTTGAAGCAAATAAATAAAAGTGAATTCTGTAAATTGTTCAAATTGAGATGAGTTTTCTACTCGTTTATTTGATTTGAGAGTATTTATGGTTCTGATAAGCATGTGTTTCTAGCTTAACAAGTGATTCTCGATGTTTCCAAAACCCTCAGAATGTCTATTATAGTGTTCTATATGTGCCTTCCATGTAGTAAATACACCTTATCTGGTCCTTTTTGGGTATTTATGAATCTGCTGTGAGCCTGTGACCCTTTTAGGCAATTCTGACATGGTCGGCGGCCTATAGCAGTGTTAAGTGCATTTTATACACGAACATTATTTGTTCTGTTATGCGTTTTATGCATTTCCATGGGCTATAATATTCATAGCCTTAGTATGATGTGTGAGGTGATTCCTGCAGCTATATGAACAACTCATCGAAATTTGAGATTTTGACATTTGACTATGAATTTGAGAAAACGGTAATCTTTTGGTTTTGCACAAAATTTAATAGTCTGTTCTTTCTCAGTATTTATCATGACTTTAAAAAGTCTGATTCAGGAATTTATGACAGTATATTTGGTTTGCACATAAGGAATTTTAAAATGTTGTATTCTTTCTTGGAAGTAATAATAATGTGTTCTTTTACACAATATTTTTCAGGTGTAAAACCTATAATTCACTATTTTTGAGAATTACTATTATTTTGTTAGATATCTAGGAACTCTAATGGCAAATGTTCTCATTGAGCTTTACCTCACACCGTCGTTTTCAAATTTTTTTCAGATTTGGTGTAGCTTTGCATATAAGCTAAACTTTCGGTTATGGCGTGTTGCTAGGAGGTGTTATAAGGAAGCCTCACTTTTGGCCCGGTATGTAGATGAACCTCGTGTGTTGGGTTATGTAATATACTTATGACGGTGAGCTTTTGGTTTGCAAGTACTAGTTATGTAAATATTTGCTCTGAACTTCTACCATCAGTAGGTTTTATATTTTTGTGAAAAGTTATGTAATATGAAGTGCCAAGCTTGACAAGTGCATAGGACTTATCTTGTGCATTGGTCCCTAATGTCACGTAATCCTTATTTATGAACTTCAGCTACTGTTTTGCGGCGTAACATGTCGTAACTATCAAACAAATAGGTAAAAAAAAGATCTAGGTTTGTTGCTATGCTTTCTAGAACTGAACTTCTCTCCATTTGGGTTCACCATTTGGGAGGAGACAAGTCTCCTTTGCCCACTTTTTCCATGGTATAGTCTTCCTACGGACCAAAAAGCATGATGCCTCAACTTCACTTTGGTGAATGATGTCATGCGCCTCTATCTACTTCCTAACCATTGGATAAGAAATAAATTTAATAATATCTGTAAAGACATGAGGAGAATGTCCCCTTCTTATAAAGAGGCAAAGAGCATATCTTATTTTTTACAAATGAAAATAAAGCCTACCTTACAAATATTAGACTTTGACTAGGGCATGAAATACCATCTCCAAATCAAAAAGACATTTCACCTAAATGGGAATGAAATATATTTTTCAAGTCCAAAGCATATCCAACTAGGGGCATGAAATATTAATTTTGGATTAAAAAAACTCAGCAATAACATTCTCAAACTACTACCGTACTAAGCAGCTTTTCTTAACCCGGTTAACTATGCACATCCTCAAAATGCAAAGTTTAATACATAAATATGTTGTGATTATCATTAAGTGTAACATATTGCTTGCCAGCAAAATTTCCAGTAATTTTAGTGACAGATTTTCATTAGTCGGCAAGTGTAAAATATTGTTCATGTATAATCAAAGGCTTGTAACATAATGATATATTATCCATGATAGAGCTAAAGGATAAAGAACTTACTCGTCGGTTATAACAGAACCCGACTTCATGCAACCCATGTATACACCATTACGACCTCGGTGGCTTTCAAGAATCTCAATCAACCCATCTGCCAAACCACAGATAATTAACTTTATAAGTATTGCTAAAAAAATATAAACTAAATCTAGCAAGAAAAAAAATGAATTTTTACAAAATCTAGACAATAAAAGAAAAGAAGGCAAAATACCCAGGTTGAGGTTGATACTGTCATCAACCTTAACATAAAATTCGGCATCCCATCTTTCAACTGCTGCACTAAAGAAAAATTTGGCTTTTTTGGGTAGTTCTTCCACAGCTTCCTCGTGACTTTCCTAAAAAGTAGACATTACCTAGATTAAAAAGCTTTTTTACAAGCAAATTTGCAAAATAAAAGGGCAAAGGAGGAGCTTTTCTATCAGCTATAGAAGGAAAGAATAGTGACGAGTAAATACGAGTCCAAAAAAATGCAGGTGTTATTTTATACAAACAGATAATATGAAATAATTGGAAAAAAAAACATACACAACAATTCCAAAGACTTTACAAATGCGATTGTCAAGTTCCTTCAAGGATTTTCTGAATAAAATAACTTATAGTTACAGTTTCTAGTCAACCAAAAAAAAGGTTCTTTTTTTTGTGTGTGGGGGGGGGAG